AAAAATGAAGGAGATAATTGTCTATTGGAGAAGTTTAATTGCCTGATTTCTTTTTTTCACTCAGTGAATATGTCATCAGATTACTAGTATATAATACTGATATCCCATAGTGTACAAATTTTGGACAAGGATTGAAAAGATATATCAAGAAAAGGATATTATTTTAAAATAGAATTATCAATTTCACATTCTGATTGTAGTTTAATAGAAAAAAGTATAGAATTTACTTGTGTCTTCAAATATGCAAAAATGGAAATTAATTCAACTATCTAACAGTTTTACGAACGAATAAATACACCCCTCCCCCACCCCAATAAATTTAGAAGCGGAAAAGATTTATTTGAATTTATATAAAAGAACATTAAATTTATTTGTTTATCCAAATATGCCAAACGTAAGGAAATTAAATCACGAATAACAAGTTGATGAACTATTAAATAAAGAGCAAAACATAAACTATCCCATTAATACAGCAAAAATATTTACAATTACGTCTTCGTGAAAATTAAAGGTCAGAGAAATGCACTGAATGATCACTAAAAGATAAATGAAAGGTAAGTGAAATCTACACGCCATTCAGCACCATTTAGTCACTGAATGCCGTCGTTTTACTGAAAGTTCACATTTCTTCTGTAATGAGTAGCAGAAATTCAACCTGATCCAAGATCCAGAATTTTGAAGTATAATCGTAAAAATTTTTACCGAAATGGACTAAAAAATTGGCCATTGCAATTCCTTCGATGTTTTCTATCACACACGTGTAACAACCAGTGCCGTATGATTTTATGTTGTAGATATGAAGAGATTTTTTGTCCTCAGAAAGTTAGTACATATTTCTAATATCTAAAAAAAATTAAATCAAAAGAAAAAGATGTATTATTCGATTATTCGCCATAACAAAACTTAAATTTGAAAGCCAAAAGCTATTGACTCCTTAGTCTTAAAGTCTTATTTTCTTTTGTTTAGCGGACATGCAATATAAGAGGAGGGGTAAAAAAACGCAACGGTCACAGCCTTAATACTCCTGTGCATGTAGATCTTCGGTGCATTTATCTTTCTCATAGGGATATTATTCAACCCTTCCAGCAAGGTAACCCTTAGCTGGTCAAGAGGGGCTGGGATATTCCGATGCTTTCTTACTCTACAGTCCAGTAAGTCCCACAAATGTTCAATTGGAGACATATATATTATTATAACAGTAACTTGATCCGAAGAGCCGTATCACGTCAAGCTGACAGGCGCGGATTATCAGATCAAACGAGACCCGAAGCGTCGAGTTTGATCTGATGATCCGCGCCTGTCAACGAGACGTGATACGGCTCTTCGGATCAAGTTACTGTTATAATAATAAATTTGTTATACACCGTTTGACAACTAGCAAAATATAATAAAAGGAAACTTTATGGATCAATTACATAAGTTGAACGAAATCCCTTCCACTCTTTCTCTGGGGACCGATAAGACGTCTTATGGTAGAAAATCCATAACAAACATTACAACAACCTATTGTTACCTTTGTTCGTTCTCATGCAAAGCAATTGGCAGACAACTTTACACTTCCATAGGCCGTACCATTTTTGCAAGAAATTCAAATTAACTTTAAATAGCGAAAATAAGTTTTTATTAAAAAAAAATGTTGACAAACCTGTTATTGTCAATATGCACGTGCTTTTGTTTTTATACCACTTTCCCTATGTGACATCATACCTATTATGGTTGAGTAATTTTGAACACCAATTTAGGTGCAATGTAACCAAAATACCTCCTATATAAATTTTCTTAACGTTTGTCAAGTATTAAAATAATTATCCAATACTATGTTAGCGCGCGTTTCTTTTTCCTCTCTCTCTCTCTCTCTCTAGATATATAACCACGTCAAAGATGATTTTTATAACTTCAATTTTGAAGCAACAACTTTTACTTACATGTGACGTTGAGGAGTGGTCGCTGTGTCAAGTTTTTGTTGGCTAGTATATGAATACTGCATGTAGTTGAGTGTAACATTGAAAATTATCACCCCAAGAAAACCATTGTCAACCGAGGCGCACCCGAGGTTGACAATGGTTTTCGAGGGGTGAAAATTTTCAATGTTACACTCAACTACATGCAGTATTTATTATATTATACTGATTTATACAAATACATATTACAGTTATTATTATACTGTTTTATATATATTATACTGTTTTATACAAATACATATAACAGTGAGCCTTTCGTGTATAAATTCTGCGCAGTCAATATTTTTTGGAATAACACCCGTCGTCAAGCAATGTTAACTGTTGCTATGCTGGAGGGCGTGGCTTCATTATTCAGCAGGTAATAGTGTTTTTTTAACAAATCTTTCTCGACGAATCAGATTCAACTAATTTACATGAAAGTTTAATATACATTTATAAAAACCCTCATCATCAAAAGTTACGTTCAAGATACATGTATGTAGCTTTTGTCCATACTGACGAAATACGTATTTGTGGTTTGTTGTTATGGTTGTTCCGTTTTTGTTCTGCCATACTACTTTTGGAACAGGGCTGTTAAAAGGAACAGTAACTACTACTCCTATTAGTTACTCTTACAGACGTCAAATGGTAATGAAATTTATGTGCGTAAATATGCACGTGAAAAGTAACAAAATTGGAAATATCTGATTTACTAAAATTTTTAAGAGCCATTCTCTGTAGCCACTAAATGCACGCATGGTCACTCAAGATGAAACTTTGTCCATGTCACAATTCATGTCCATAATTGTTTCCGTATATTTATCAGATTACTGTATAACTAATATTTATTGCCCAATATGTTCTCCATACTTTTAAGCTTGTTCAGCGATTTAAATCCCGTGCTATTCTAAAATGAAATTGGGAGTAGCAATTGACCAGAGCAGTCGTGTTGTAAGACAGTCTCAAGTTTTCCCTATATGTTCGAATAATTGCTTAATATTTAATGACCAGAGGTCCACCTATTCTGGGTAAGTGTATTTTATTTATTATCATTAGTTAATATTGTTTATTGATGGTTTTTATTCCTGAAATGGCCACAGAACTTTGTTCTATATTTTCATTCGTAAGTTAGATTCAAAGTAGTATTTGCAATTGCTCATGTGATGTATGTATATTACAAGTAAAAGTATAAGTGTATGAGTATATGTATAATGTAGATATTGTGTTGTATGTACAAAGTATGGCGTATAGTATTCGTCTTAAAGTAAAGTTATTGTCTACAAGTAGTACACTTAGTCTAACTGTGAACGTTAAAGTTCTGTAAAGTAAAGTAAATTGAATCAATGAGGTATATATACTGTGCAGTAAAATGCAACTTATTATATGTATAATGCAGTAAAATGCACCTTAGTGGATGTACAGGAAAATGTACGAGTATGAACAAAGTATATCAAGTATATTATGTCTGTATCTAACTTTAATTTATATTATAGATCCCATAAAGCCATTAAGCCATCATGCCATTGTGCCATTATGCCATTGAACCATTCAGCCATGCAGAAAACGCGTGTGTTTTGTATATTTTGTAAATAAAACTATTTTATCAAAAAAATTGAATTGTAAAAATTCGGGAAGCCGCCAGCCACTCTGTGACAGTCCATTATTAAAGTTTGACACTAGAAACATAAATCAATCAGAATGTGTGTAGGATAAAAATTTTCGTGAATGTATGAATAATCAAATTGAATTTTAAAAAATATTTCATTTTAATACTTTGCTTTCTACGGCATGTTAAACGGTGCAATATTTGATCTTTTCCATTTGTATTGTAAAAATTCTTATTTGTATTGTATAAATTTTTATTTGTATTGTACATTTTTCATTTGTATTTCATAATTTCCTATTCAGAAAAGACTTCTCGTTTCTTTACCTTAAGTGTAACGCCAAGGCTTCCCACAAATTACTGTTATGATGCATAAAAATTGCTTCTAGCAAAGATTCACTCTAGATGCGCATACGTCCTAAAAGCTTGACTGACAGTCCGTGAACCGGAATACTAAGGATTACTACGCTGCACCAGGACTTCAACATCTGAGAAACAGGCACTTCAAAAGACTGGAATAATGATTACTTAAAATCCAGAGACTCATGAACTCAATACATTGTACAATCCAATCTGCGTTGCATGGTGGACATACATGTACTCGCTGCAATACATCTGGGGGAGATCAACGGATACTTGTTACTTTTTCAAGTTTAAAGGTAACAATCCACATTTCAATCAAATATCGGTGGTTTTAATTCAAGTTTTTTCTTAAGTTAAAATCTATGTTAAATTGTTTGTTTGTTGTTTAACGTCCCTCTCGAGAATTCTTTTTTCACTCATATGGAGACGCCACCACTTGCCGGCGGAGAGCTGCAAATTTTGTCCCATACTCGGCACTTACGGCCATTGAGCAGTGAGGGATCTTTTTCGTGCCAGCACCACTGCGCCACGCGGGCGACATGTTAAATTGTTAATATCAATAGATAAAAATATATACACATAAATATGTTTATTTTTGATAAACTATAGTTTTCTGTACTATTTTTATATTAGGCCTAGGGAGATCAAGATCCCTTGGCTCTTTTTTTAGCGATATTTACATATTCATCACATACATTCCAGCAAAGGCTAAAAAGAAAGACACATTCAACACTTACTTAAGGATTATTTTTACTTAAGGTTTTAGTTGATAGAAATGCATTGATATAAATTACAAAATCTTAAATCAAAAACTGTTTAAACAGACAAAATAACCATTTAATAAATTAATAAATATCAATATCTATATTTAAAATATTACAACTTGATAACAATATCCAACAACAAATGTAGCCTTTCGATTATGCAAGGAAGTTTTTATTTTCTTACATAAAAGTAGTTAAGGTCTTAATCGGAAACAAGATTCTTACATATGAACTTAATTTTTAAAGAAAGTCCTCCTTACAAAGTCAGTTATTCTTATACAAAGTATTAATTCCTAAAATTTCATTCAAACATTGTATATGACCCAGCAACTCATATTCTGCATAAAATATTTTCGATAAGCATTAGATATTAAGATTGATTCTCCATATGAAAAATTCTCAATCATTTGATTCAATGTTTATTATGTTAACTTTTCCTCTACATGTACTACTGTATATTCCACTGACATTTTCTGAATAGTCATAAAGTTTAGATTCAGCATGGTCTGACGTCATAGTTCTACATTCTCCCAAAATATTGTATTGATTTTCAGCACAACTATCCTCACCCTGATTTTGTGACACAGTTTCTTCATTATCACTATCTGTGCGTGTATTTTGATTTTCAACATATGTATATTCAGGTTCCTCGGTAATAGGACCAATAATACAGTCGTCTGAATATGAGCACAGTTTGTTGGTTCTGGCGATCTGGAATCGTGCAATTAATTCTTTGTCTTTTTTAATGAGGCAAAATCTACAGAAAAATTGATATCACTATTTTTATTCGTTCAATTACAATGAATTTACAAATCTAAAACATGAACATCACAGTATTCTTCTCACCTTTTACGTATGAATATTGCAGCTACACTCAATAATGAAAGTCCAACAAAAGCTATAATAACTATTAATAGAGACCCAAAATCGCGAGCTGAAAAAATAAAGTAAAATAAAGTAAAAATTGAATAATGCTATGTTACAGGTCCACAGACGAAGATCAAAGGGACAAAAAAGAAGATGCATGTACTTTTAAAAACAAACGCACAGAAAACTGTGGTCAAACAAGCGTTTTCTTCATACAATACAGAGAGGCTTATTTTAATGCACAATTTACAGAAAAACCTGCCTCTACCTCTTTTGGATGCTCCTGCAAATCTTTAACATTTTAGCCTTGATCCGAAGCATATTTGCTACAAAATTTACACTGGAAACTGTTTATAACTTTTAAGATACTAGTATATTGTAAACGGTTGATAAAGAGTGGGAATGCAAAAAGTGAAGTTAACGAACAGTGTCAATCTCATAAATTCAGTAAACAAAACGGACCGAGAAAAAGGCAATTGCAGGGATCCCTCGACCAATGCACAATTTACAGAAATCTTGCCTCTGCCGCTTTTATTGGATGCTCCTGCAAATTTTTATTATCGAGGCACATTTCCCACCAAATTTTTATTGGAAACTGTTATTAAACCCAATACAATCTGCACACAGAGGAAGAAGTTTATTTTAACATCAATTTTCTTTATAAACGTAATTAAATTTTACTTACTTGACAGATGATTATCTGATTTATCTAAAAATTGGAAACACATACGAGAATCAAATGATTACTGTGGTGCATTTTATAATGATAGTAATAAAAAAAAAAAAAAAAAAAAAAAAAAAAAAAAAAAAACCACTTTAAATATTTTGAACATGCAAAATACTTACGTGGTTCATAAAAACCATATATGTAAAAGATAACCGAATCTTTAAGATCACTTCTCGTTTCTTAATATTTTGATACGTACAAGAGTTAATTATCAATGTCATCATTTTCCATCGCTATATCATAGATAATTTATTTCCAGTCACATTACAAACTAGATTATTAATGTTGAAATGTATGTACATTGAAATCTTTCCATTGTCGCTTGATATCAATGAGATACTCAGTAAAAAATTTCTCGGAAAACATTGAAAACATAGGATTTAAAAAAAATCAAATATTCTAGAAAAAAAAAAAAACTATCAGCATATAATATTAAAGTTAAGTTTAAAATTACAAATTAAATTAGGAAAATAGGGTGATATTCAGAATACTGAAGGAGATAAATGCATATCGAAAAAAGAAATTGTAATTGTCTGATTTTCTTTTTTCACTGAATGAAGGTGTTTTCATATAACAATATTAATATTCCATAGGTTACGAACCTTTGGGAAACATTACAAAAATAGATTTAGAGAAGAAAAAAATATTGAAAATAGAATTATTGATTATATAATATGCGTGATTACAGTTTTTTTTTAGATAGCAATTGAATTGACTTGTTTCCTGAAATACGCAAAACACAGGGAAATTAATTCAAGTATCTAACACGTTGACAAACAAATCAATAATTAAACAGACAAACCCAAAGTACTCTATCAATAACGCTGAAATATGTACATTTACAAAGATCTTTATAAAGTGATAAGGAAGTTCCTCTTTAGTCACCATGAACGGTCAGTGATATGTTATATGCACATTGAAAGATAAATGAAATGTCAGTGAAATCTACCTGCCATTCAGCACCATTCAATCACTGAATGCCCTCCTTTCACTGATAGTTCATATTTCTTCCTGTGATAGTACAGCAATTTCAAACCCTATCCGGAATCCAGAAACTGAGAAAAAAAATATCTTAAAAATATTACCGAAATGGAGTAAAAAATTTGCCACTGCAATCCCTTCGCTATTTTCTATCACACATGTATAACAAGCAGCAGCAGTTTTGTTGTAAATATGAAGAGTCTTTTTGTCCTTTGAAAACTTGTATCTAACATCTATGAAAAAATATATATGAATATATTATCAAAATATACACGTAAAGTTGTATTATTTGTCATAACCAAGCTTAAAATTAAAAGCCAAAAGCTATTTCTCCATTTGTTCTTCACGTCTTTTTTTCTTTTGGGTAACGGACATGTGATATAAGGAAAGTTAAAAAAAAAAACCCAATGCACTGCTAGTTATGGCTTGTGATTAGATTTATTTTTTGGAATCAATAGAGCGTGATATTATCTTATCAATTAAGGCATTATGCTGACATCATATGAACAATGCAAAAATAATTGAAGGTAATGTATAAGCACCCAGTTTCTCTACGTAAAAAAAGTATAAGGACTAAAGAAACTTTGAACAGAGGGCCGATGATCAATTCTGGTATCATTTTCATTATTTGAATATAAATAATATAAGAATAATAACGTTTACGCTAGAAAAAAAAAAACACTATTTACCATACATTTCTAAACACAACAAAAAGAAACCTTCATCCAAGATCTTTCCATTCTTCATCCATTTGATCACAACAGGCTCAATTTCGGCCGATAAGGACATTGCGTTGCATAGGAGAACATTGGACTTTTTTGTCGATATCTGCACTATTTTTGTCATGAAACGTTTATCAGCATCGGGAAAAAGCGGAGGGGCTAATTGCAAAATTAAAAAAAAAATCAGTTGTTCTCGTGAAAATTAAATTATGTTTCAATATATATCTAATCGCGAAAAAGAAGATTATAAAAACTTTAAAGAAACAAAACATACGTGTGACATTGAGGAATGGATTTTGAATTAGGCTGTCGTTGGCTATACATTTATAGACACCCTCATCATCAAAAGTTACGTTCATGATTTGTAGCTGTCGTCCATACTGACCGACGATATATTTGTGGTTTGTTGTTATGTATGTTCCGTTTTTGTTCTGCCATTCTACTTTTGGAACAGGGCTATATTAACAGGAACAAAAACTATTATATATATGCATTTGAAAGAGAAACAAAAATTTGAAATTGCCTGATGTGTTATAATTTTTTAAATATAATGCAAAATTTGGGGTTACCAGATTATGTTTTAAATCTAAATGGAAAATTTTTAAGAAAACATACTAACTTTCCAGAAAAAATGCATAGAAGGGTAGCATTTTCTCCAATGAAAACTTTGTCGCCACTTTGATAAACAGCCTCTGGAGAGACGTTTTCAGTAGAATCTACAAATGTCTCTTTTAAGATACTTAGTGGTTCATTATACAATAATTTTTTTTTTGTAAGATGAAGCTTGACAAGCATAGATTTGAAGCCTGAACACAATTATTGTATCCAAGTGTGAATTTTCTATTGCAGTTTATGTTATCAATCCTATGTATATTGTTGTCTATAACCATGAGGAGAAAGGACAAGTGAAAAAAGTAGAGTGCCATTGGCCTTATATCATTTTTTGAATATCGAGAGCACTAATTAAAACTTACGACTTCCATCAATGCAATGAAATTAAAAGATGCAAATTATATAGGGTACCAATTTTGATGCACCAGATGCGCATTTCGACAAATTGACAAAGATGTAATGATTTCATGCACAATTTTCTCTGTCCACAAATTATCTAAAACAGATTTGGATGACATTAAAAAAGGATTTTCCTTGGGAATCTTGCGAAGGTGTTAAAATTAATATGCTTGAATAATTTTTCTGTAAGTGCTTTTCTTTTGCACTCGAGAAATATTGCAAGTGAATTTAATTGAGTGGAAATGTGTAGTATTGGAAAAGGAAGAACAATTTTAATTATAAATTCGATGGCCAAATTATAACATGTAAAAGAGATAACTCTTGCTTAAGTTTATACTGGCCAAGATAAAAGATCTGTGAGTGATATCCTGTTATCAATTAAATCGTCCTCCAAAACGTTTTACAAGTGATACCTGAGGAAAACAAGTAGAAATTTTAAAAAATCTCAATGCATTACACATATTAAGTGTCATTCTCTGTAAGAATCAAAGAATTTAGAAAAAAGTTGGAAATGGTACATCACAGATTTGGCTGATTTTTTGCATGTAATGTAGAAACACCATGTATAGAGCATATTTGAGGTCAATTATTAAATTTGAGTTCCGGTTGCCATGGTAACCAAAACCACCATTTTTAAGGCCAAAAATATGGAGCGGCCTGCTGAAATTATACCAACTTCATCTTAAATTTCTATTTTCTACATATTTTTTACAGGATTAATTGTTGCCTACTCTGATGGACTATTTGTTGGAGTAACTTCCTCAACTAATGATTTGATTCAGTAGTAGCTCATGGAGGAGTCATCTTTCAGTGAAAAGTGTCAATTTTTTGAAATTTCACAAATTTGAAAAAATGCCAATTTTTGGCATTTTCTAATCATAGTAGCAAGAAAACGCGGGCAATCCATAACAAACAACTACCATCATTGAAAAGTTCATTCTATACTTAACAAAATATAAAATTTCTAGAGAGGTATTATTTCTTAAAATAAAATAAATTGAAAACGAAAATGGTTGCTATGGAGAATTTGGATTAATTTGTATATTCAACATTTGGCTCATTTTTTGTACATTATAGCTTTAAAAAATCATTAGTAAAATAAATCACATTAATAAACCTTGTAATTTCACTTACATTATTAAAAATATGTATAAGTTCATAAATTTAAAAAAAAATATTGTGTTGCTATGGCAACCAAATAGTTCAGGAACAATCGTTATAACTATTGATGTTATCATTATGCAAAAACTATGGCCTCAGTGCATGATTCTTCAATAAAATAGATCACACTTATTATATTTGTTATTTCACTAACATTTAAAAAAATAATTCATACATCTAAAAATCATGTTGCTATGGTAACTAAATAGTTCTGGAACACTTCCTTATAACGGTTACTATCACAAGTATATACAACAAATATTATTATAGCTTCATGCATAATTATTATTTTTCTTTTTCAATAAAATAAATAACATTAATTAAATTTGTATTTCATTTTCATTAAAATAGAAATTCATAATTTAAAAAAAGCAGTTGCTATGGCACCCAAATAGTCCAGGAATGATCCCTATAATTATCGATGTATCAATATACAAAACCTATAGTCTCAGTGTTTGGTTGTACTTCTTATTTATATATTTACTCGGAATATACAGATGAATACTCAGGGATTTATCAGCCTATTTTGGGAAACGCCATTTTTGGGGAATTGGGAAAAAATTATCGGCTTTTTTATGAAATTGGTAAAAAATTTAAATATCGCTTAAATCATGTATTCAGGTGTAATTTATTTAACATTTCAGCAGGAACTCTAATTTGGGAAACCAAACAGACAATTAAATCCTAACTGATCCAACTTCATCAAACAAGATCAATTATGAATAATAAACTAATAAAAGTAAAATCGACTTCAATGAATATAAAGTATTTACCTATACAACTTAGGGTAGTACATGTGTGTATGAGATTCCAACTTAGGACATTATAGAATATGTTTCTGGAGATTATAAACCTCCTGCAAAAAAATTGTACTAAGTACACATTTTCTCAAAGTCCTCTTTTAATATGTATTAAAACATTGAAAATATATTTTTCTATTTGAAAGAATGCCTACAGTCCTTACCATTCACTCGTAGATCAATTGAGTAGGTGGAAATAACTTAATAAATCTATTCAATTACACAATATCACCTTTTTCAGAAAAACAGAGGAAATTCGGATTAAAAGTTGGCGATGTTTTTACAGTGTTTTTAAACATGCGTTATGACTGTAGCTTTGCTAAATGAGTTATATAGATGAAAATTACAGACAATCTGACAATTTTACTCTTTGTTTTTTCAAAGATAACGAAGTGTTAAAGTATTGTCATCAATTGGGAAAAAATACTGCCAAATTGGGAAAAACTGAACTCATTTTCAATTGGGAATGGGGCCGAATTTCGACCCCTGAGAAGGTACTGATAAATCCCTGATACTTAAACTGATCACATTTCTGAATTACTGCAGCATAGGTTTTTATTTTTTTTTTTTGCACTGTGCAGTTTCCATGGAAACAAGCAATACTTACCTATATATAATCATGACCAATCTTTTCACTGCTTATTGAAGCTAATGCTTTTATCATTGAAACAGATATACATGTTTAAACATGAACTTCTAGTAGGACAAGCACATAGTAATAAGTACCCCCCCCCCCCCCGACTCCACTTTTTTTTTTTAAATAATCTTCTGCTGTTCACTTAGTTGGGAATTATTTATTAAATGATATAAAAAAATTCCGTTTTGTTGCAGTAGCAGATGTATGGTCTAAAACCTTGCCACATGTATCTAAAAAAAATTCTTGTTAAAAAGATGAATTTTGACACACACACCCTCCATCTTATACCTCCCCCTCCCTGAAAAAATATAGTATGTCCTTCAAATTTTGCCACAAACAATATGCTAGGGGAATATATTATTTGTCAGGTGCCTCATTTTTTGTTCTCCCTTCCATCATTTTACATTTTAGCTCAAGTACAAAGAAACTGTTGAAGATATAATTGTCAATCATCATACACATTAAAATTGACAATCACAATTCAATATATAGTTTAAAGATTTTGTTCTTCCTCATTCAGGCGCAAAACCAAGCTTTGTGTTAGGGGAGATGCTATTAGGTGGAAAGCAGTCTACAGACCACAACCATTCTAATGAGGTCCAAAAAACTGTCCGTAGGGGGCTCACTGGGAGTGAACTCCCTGAAAGCTTTTGAAATTAAATAAATAGACAACCTCATTTTGACTCAAAGTGGGTGTAAATTTACCTTTAGTACACATGTACCTCGATTTATGACAGAAAAACTATATCCGAAATATTTTTCTTTTGTTTAAGTGGGTGCACACTAAAGTGTGACCCCCCACCCCCCAAAATGTAATTTTAAAAAAAGGGCCTTGATCGATTAGCATAAATATTTTTTCAGGTTCATTTTTACCTAAAACTATTTGGAAAGCTTCTTTAAAATATTTTCCAGAACATAAAATCTGTAATAAATGGAATAATGAGATGTTCTCATAAAATATGACATAAAAATAAAAAATTCTCTACTAAAATTTGGGCACATAAATCTTATCTATGAATCAAGATTTCAACAATGTGCATTATACATATACTCAACATCTGGATGCATGTAAAGGAACTCTTCTCCACTGGAAATTGCCATATTTCCCCCATCTTATAGTATTCGTTGATATTGTTTCAGTAAAGTATACACATTGTAATTTGACTTAAATTTAACTGAGTATTTAGTTATAATGATAAAAAAAATTCTTAATATATAATTAATTTTCTCTTTGCTGCAATTAGATAATCTGATAAGAGATAAATTTCAAAGTTCTTACAATTTTTTTGCAATAAGTTCCTAAATGAAAGGACCCCCCCCCCCCCCCCTTCAAAAAACAAAACAAAAACATAATAAATTTAAGCCCTGCACAAACTGAAATCTAAAAAAAACTTGCAATATTGTCACGTGTTCAGTTTAGCGATGTGATTTAAAATATATATACTGTCTACTGAGGTAAACATGTAAAAGCAAAAAAAAAAAAATAAATAAAAAAATAAAAAAAATAAAAAATAATAAAAAAAAAAAAAAAAAAAAAAAAAAATAATAATAATAATAATTAAAATAAAATAAAATGAATAAATAAATGGATGAAATACCTTGCATGGCAATAGCTTGTTATCCCCCCCCCCCCCCTTCACAGCACACACTTAGAAAGCTGATACTATGCCTAAAATCAATAGCTTTTGTCATATATGCACTACAGGTATGCTTTAGGTTAACATAATTTTCATCAACGGATAGTTAAAAGTATGCCTATACTAATAGACATTAAATTATGATATAATTAGATTCATGTAATTATGTTTTGGATACTTTAATGTTTCTTTACTTTATATAGTCATACCCTGTTACTAATTAACTTAATTATTACAAAACGTGTGAGTTTGAGTAAATATTGAGAAAAGTAAAAATTTTCACTGATACTTGCCTAGTGATCTTCTTACTGTCAGGTATCTTTCTACATTACAACCTTATTATCCCACTCAACTTGTAGCTCTGAAGTCCATGTAACTGATGTGCTTTGTTTTTGAACACTTTTTTGCAATGATGCAGTACGTGTCATATACTAGGTAGGAATAGGTGCAATCCATTTTCATGCTAATCACCATTATACGCATACATGTATATTTCTCAGACACCGTAAGGCCTGAACAAACATTTAACTATGGGTAATATAAAATACTACAAAAGTTTGGTTAAAAAAAAGTCTGAAAATATCCAAAACAGACAGAATCTACTCCTCAAAGTCATGTTCTGCTCTCTACTTTAACTTTCATTTTCTTTGATTTTAACAAAAGATTTCCGAAAGGGGAAATAACTCTTGACAAAAAATGTGTGTAAATTTAGAGATTTTTAGAAAATTTAAAATGAATTTATTTTCTTAAAATAAATAATACCTCTCCAATTTTTTAATATGTTCTTCATAATTGTTTAGGGTAAAATTCAGAGCATCAAAATATTCCACCAGTGCCTGCGTTTTTTGTGCACACTGTTATGTTACCCCCTCCTCTTTTAAAGCGATTTTTGATATCATTTAGCATTTATTGGCAGGTCCAAGATTTTTTTTTAACTTTCTTGTATAGAAAATACAACTTACAAATTATTTTTTAAAAAAAATTAATAATTGTCACCTATATTAATTAAATATACATTAACCGGATGAAATGACATTTATAGGTATTTTCCACCTATGTGCAAAAATAGGTAACCTGTTGCCATGGAAACAAGACCAATCCATCATTTCCAATAATATTTTTATAAAATGGGCTTATAATGTAATTATTTCACCAAGTTTCAACAAAATCGGTGAGAGTCAATTTCCGTCCCATTTTGATGCTTACAAAGAATGACTCTTAAGTACTTTTAAACTGATTTGTAAAGTGTTAGATACCAACTTCGATTTGTACTCTCTATCAATAAAATTTTTCTGTATAAATGTAACACCGGTGAAGATCATTCAGATGTTTTAGATGATTTTCCAGGAATTATAATTATATGAAAAGATAAAAGAAAGCAAAGAAATTAGAATGACGAAATTTATCTCATTTCATACATATTTAACCAAAGGTAATACGTACGTAAATACTTAAATAGGTACTGACCTTCATGAGATCAGTACAGTCATAAAGACTTTACGCTATAATATATTCCTTCGTGTGTAGAGTAGATAAAATATTGTTTATTTTCTCCTTCAATTACCATAATTACATCATGTTTAGTTTTGTCTATATTTTACGTGTGTCAATTTTTTCATTGAATACAATGCTCAACTTAATATACCTGGTTAATTATTCTTAATCTTAAACTGTTTTAATTATCAAATAAATAATACATTTTAACCTTGATTTATTGCACCAACATGCGTAATTTTAAAGAAGGACATTTCAGGTTTGTCATATGACTGTTATCCACTCTTCCTGCCTATACGGTAAAACAGTAACATTAATATAAAGGGTTGTTGTTGTTGAGATTCTTTAAAGCATTTCTAACGTCAATTCGACCACTGGCATGAAACAAAAATAACATCTTTCACGTCTGAAAAATTGCAAACCAAAATCCACTTACCATTGATCTGGAGATCTGTAATGCTGCTCATTTTTAATACTCTGAGCTTTTCATTCCACATTCCACATGTGTAATTCTTTTCCCCATCAGATTTACTTATGTTCAGAAAATGAAGATTTCCTAAATAATTTTTTTTTCAATAAATTAAAAATTGATTTCATCTTACTCAAACTATGGTATCTAAGGTGAAAATACAGATATATTAAGTATAAATTGACATTGCAGCTTCTGGAACATCTATTTTAGCAATTATAAGATTTGATTACCCTCACGATCCGAGGTTACAAATTTGTTGTACAACACACTTCGTGAGGTTCCATATGTAAGTTTCCATTCTATCATACATTCAGTTTTTGGACGGCATCGTGGCTGATTATGACAGGTAAGTGCGCAATGATGATATTCCCTGCAAGTTTGTTCCACATTCGACATTGAAGAAAATTGGTCAAGAACTACAATAACAAATAACGGCAACTTCAGTTATGTTTGCTACAACGTAACTGACAAGTAAATAGACACAGAAAAACATTTCATTATCAAGGTATAGCTGATGTTGTTGCAATTTCATCTGCATATTTTACCAACCCCAAGATATCACACATTTAAATGCCTTATAGTTGAATGCATCTTTCGTTTCATTAGTATCGCAGCCATAGAAAAGTTTTTTAAATAATTCTTTTTTTTTTTTTTTTGGTATTTTGGTGGTCACTTCAAATTATTCAAACTGTCTGAACATATTTTTACTAGCAATAATCTCTGATGCTACAAAAATGAAACACATACATGTACTTTCAAATACCAATGTGTAATGTTACATATAACATATAATGTTTGACGATGTAGACTGATACTGTATCTTGGCAAAGTGGAATAAATGGGAGAAAATCCAGGTATTATTTATAAGGATTGTAATATTGCTTGTTGTAGTGATGTATTCAAAAGGTCCAGCACATGCTAATTATATTAATCCTGTTAAATATTTCTTTGAAATTAAGATTTACAGATGATCTGAAGGTGATATTTATCATTTCTCCATCGATCATGATGATGAATGATGAAGGGTAAAGATAATATTGATTTTATAAAAAAAAAAAAAGACAAACTTCAAAGCAAATATATGACAGGGCATAAACACGAACCCCTGGAAATTTCAGAGGTGAGACTAGATGCCTAGGAGAAATAAGCATCTCCTGTTGACCGGTCACACTCGCCGTGAGTCCTATGTATTGATCAAGTAGATGGAACATTCCGTAATTAGAATATGACATTAAAAAAAATATAAATGCTTTACCTGCTTCCGATAATTTGACAAACTGTGAGACTGAAATTCCAAACTTATTTTCTGCCATACAATAATAGATACCAAAGTCATCTTTATCTAGATTTATGAAGACAATTTTACCAGTTGACGGATTAAAGGAAACTCGATCATTTTCCAGAATCTTTGAATAATTTTTATACCACTGGTACCTATTTAAATGAATTAGACATAAAACATTTAGATCATTAGATCATGAATTGTATTCTACATGTATTTGACATTATAAATTAATATTTTCATCCTTTTTTTCATTATCATCTCGCCATCTGAAAATTGCAAAGGTAATCATACACTGTTACTCACCTGACTACAGTGTTATTTGCTTGGCAAAACAAGGATAATGGAGTAGAATGAAAGATCGGTACAAAATACTCCGGCTCAAACTCTGATGTTATGACAGGAGGTAGATTCATAGGTTCTGCTCCTTAGATTCATAATATTATTTTTATTTTTACATTGAATAAGTTTTTTGAATACATCGTACAAGTCTGAAACACAAATTTACCTTTGCAAAAGAAGGTGTTTTCTCTGACGCAAAGGTAAAGGACACCAATCACTAGGTTTTCCATCATGGTTCCTCATATATGGTACTTTTTATTTAAAAAAATTAAATATAGAATATACTTCTCTGAGTCTTTTCCTGTCATCTGTGCAAAATATATACGGGCAATAAATATAATAGGAAATAATGTACCAAGTTACAAAATTGTGAACATTCAGTAAATGTGCTCTATAGAAAAATTGTTTGATTATTGGATTATCTACTCAAGGCTTTATCTTCCTTATACAATCCATCAAAGTTTGGGTTCGTATGCATATAAAAATACAAGTATGACCACATTAAAAGATATTCCTCATACACGTAGCATTGATTTTGAGAGAGAGAATGAGAAAAGAGGGTAGCTTGGAAAAAATAATAATATCTGCAAAAACCTTGACAAGCAGAAGAAAAAGGGGGAAAATTGTCCAAAATTGAACAAATTCTATTTTTGTCAATTTTTCGCGTCACCCTGACGGTTCAAATTGCAATTAAACAAATAATTTACTAAAACCTGGTCTATAGAAGAATGTTTCTGTTCATTATAAGTATCGCAGTATTATTTAAAAAAAAAGATGTGTTTGTGAAACACTGATGCCCCCGTATGGCAGCGTATGGCGAAGATTAAAGTTAAAGTCAAGGTCAAGGTCAAAGTTGTTGGTATCCAAAAGAAGGTCTTGTCACAAGGATTACATATGTGAAGTATGAAAGCCCTAGCACCAACCATTCAAAAGTTATGGCCAAGGTTATAGTTTTTCAAAAATAGGTCAAACTCCTAATTCAAGGTCAAAGTGGTTGGTATTCAAAGGAAGGTGATGTCACAAGAATTACATATGTGAAGTATGAAAACCCTAGCTCCAACCGTTCAAAAGTTATTTGCAAGGTTAAAGTTTTTCAAAAGTAGTTCAAACTCCAAGGTCAAGGTCAAAAGGTCAAAGTTGTTGGTATCAGAGGAAGGCCTTGTCACAAAGAATACACATGTGAAATTTGAAATCCCAAGCGCCAACTGTTCAGAAGTTATGGCCAAGGTAAAAGTCTCATAAAATGTTGCAAAAATGGGTCAAACTCCAAGGTCAAGGTCAAATATGATGGTACCCAAAGAAAGGTCTTGTCACAAAGAATACACATGTGAAATATGAAAGTCATAGCTCCAACCAATCAAAAGTTATGGGCAAGGTTAAAGTTGACAAAAGACAGACAGACAGACAAACAGACAGACAGGACAAAAACAATATACCCCCGGATTCTTTCGATCTGGGGGCATAAAAAAACTTCTCGTTTCTTAAGCTTAATGCTTGACTTCCTGAAATTGATTGTTATCATGCATGCCAATTGCTTCTATCGGGAAATATTCTCAAAATGAAGAAAAGAGTGTTTCAGATGCAAAGATTCACTCTAGATGCGCATACGTCTCTAAAGCTTGACTGACAGTCTGTAAACCGGAAGGCAAATGGCTACTACGCTGCACCTGGAAGGAGGAATGCGACTTCAGCATCTGAGAAACAGGCAATTAAAAAGACTGGAATAATATTTTTTTCTACCTAAAATCCAGAGACTCATGAACTCAATGCATCGTACAATCTGCGTGTAATTGATGCATGGTGGACATACTCGCTGTACAATAGAATTTGGAGAGATTTACGGATACTTGTTACTCTCTAAAGTTTAAAGGTAACAATTCGCGTTTCAATCAAATATCGGTGGTTTAAATTCAAGTATTTCCTTAAGTTAAAATCTGTGTTAAATTGGGAATATCAATAGATAAGAATATTTAGATATGAATATGTTAAATTTAGATAAATTATAGTTTACTGTAATATTTTATATTAGGGAGATCATGATTACTGCCCTCTTTCTTCAGTTGTTAGCGATATTTACATATACATCACATACTTTCCAGTAATGTCTAAAATGAAGATACATTCAACACTTGCTTAAGGATGATTTTTACTCAGGGTTTTAGATGACAGAATTGTATTGATGCAAATTACAAAATCTTAAATTAAAAAAAAATGTTCTAAACAGACAAAATAACCATATACTAGATAAATAAATATCAATATCAAAATTTAATATTTTACAATTTTGATAACAATATGCAGTGCAATAGCAAATGCAGATTTCCTATTATGTAAAGAAGTTTTTGTTTTCTTACACAAAAGTAGTTGATGTCTTAATCGAAAACAAGATTCTTACATATTAACTTAACCTTTAAAGAACGACCTCCTTACAAAGTCAGTGATTAATTCTTATTCAAGGTATTAATACCCAAAATTGCCTTCAAACATTGTTTATGACCAACCAACTCATATTCTGCATAAAATATTTTCGATAACCATTATCCTCAAAGACATGGATATTAAGATAGATTCTTCGTATGAAACACTCTCAATCATTTGATTCAATGTTTGTTATGTTAACTTTTCCTCTACATGTACTACTGTATATTCCACTGACATTTTCTGAATAGTCATAAAGATTAGATTCAGCATATTCTGAAGTCATATTTCTACATTCTCCCAAAATGTTGTAGTGGTTTTCATCACAAACATCTTCATACTGAAATTTTGTTACAGCTTCAACACCATCGCTACATGTATGTGTATTTCGATTATCAACATATGTATATTCAGGTTCCTCGGTTATAGGACCAGTACTGTCGTCTGGATCTGGAAAAAGATTACTGGTTCTGGCGATCTGGAATCGTGCAGTTAATTTTTTGTCTTTCATAACAATGCATGCTCTACAAAATATTGTTAACACTACATTTGATTCGTTCAATTACAATGAATATACAAATTTTAAAATATCCTAAACAACACAGTTTTCTTCTCACCTTTTATATATGAATATTGCAGCTATAATCAATAATAATAGTCCAACAAAAGCTATAATTATAGCTCTTAATGCAGTTGTCATAACGTGAGCTGAAAACATAAAGCAAAAATTAAATTATGTTATACAGGGGCAAAAAAAAAGAAAAAAAAGAACAATAATGGCTTAGAGAAACAGACGCACTAACATTAATTATAAGAAAAAAACCCACAAGGAAATTGAAGTTAACTAGATGGCATAATTTTATCACTGAAAAACTAAGTATACAAACAAGGATCATCTTTCTCCGTGTTAAAGTGTTAGACATGTAAAGTGTGGTTTATTCCAACGCGCAATTTAAGGGGGAAAACTGCGTCTTTCTTTGGATGCTCATGCAAATCTTTATCATTTATTCTTGCCCCAGACATATTTCCTTTGAGACTGACACTGGAAACTGTTGATGGCTTTTTAGATAGTTGTATATTGCAATCGGTTAGTAAAAGTAAAGAAATTAAACCCAAAAAGCATATAGCAGACTGATAAGGATGGTTTTATTTCATTATCAATTTATTTTGTAATAAATTTTACTTACATGACTGATGATTATCTGATTTCGCTACAAATTAGTTATACACGAGAATCAAATGAATATCATGGTGAACTTTTAATGTGCAAAGGAAATTCTTATTTTGAAAATTCAAAATCGTTGTGTGGTTCATTAAATCATTCATGCAAAAGATAACCAAATTCCTATGATCATTAGTTGTCTCTTGCTAATTTGATACATGCTAATGTTACTAATCTTTTCCCACTGCTGCATCATTAATAATTTATCTTTCACTATTAATTAGATAATTCATTTGAAATGTATGTATTTTTCCATTGCAAATTGGTATAAATGGGATACTAAGTGAACCAATTTCTCAGGAAACATAAAAAAACATGTGTTAAAAAAATCAAATATTCTAAAAAAAAAAAAAACAATAATCAACATATAATATCTAACTTCATTTTAAATTTCCAAATTAAATTCAGGAAGTAGGGCGATATTAAGAAAAATGAAGGAGATAATTATCTATCGGAGAAGTTTAATTGCCTGATTTCCTTTTTCACTCAATGAATATGTCATCAGATTACTAGTATATAATATTGATATCTCATAGTGTACAAATTTTGGGCAAGGATTAAAAAGTTATATTAGGAAAAGGATATTATTTAAAAATAGAATTATCAATAACACAATCTGACGGTAGTTTCTTAGAAAAAAGCATATAATTTACTTGTGCCTTCAAATATGCAAAACGTGGAAATTAATTCAAATATCTAACAAGCTGACGAACGAATAAATATCCCCACCAATAAATTCAGAAGCGGAAAATATTCTATGAAATAGAATTTATGATCATATTTATTTCAGTTTATAGAAAAGAACATTCAAAATTAAATATTTGTGTATTCATATATGCCAAACGTAAGGAAATTAAATTTCCAATAACAAGTTGACGAACGATTAAATAAACAGCAAAACATAAACTATCCCATTAATACCTCTAAAATATGTACAAATACATCTTCGTGAAAAATGAAGTTATTTCGTCACCATCAAACATCAGAGAAATGTACTGAATGATCACTAAAAGATAAATGAAAGGTAAGTGAAATCTACACGCCATTAGGCACCATTCAGTCACTGAATGCCGTCGTTTCACTGAAAGTTCATATTTCTTCTGTAATGAGTAGCAGTAATTCAACCTGATCCAAGATCCAGAATTTTGAAGTATAATCGTAAAAATTTTACCGAAAGGGACTAAAAAATTGGCCACTGCAATTCCTTCGCTGTTTTCTATCACACACGTGTAACAACCAGTGCCGTATGATTTTATGTTGTAGATATGAAGAGATTTTTTGTCCTCAGAAAGTTGGTACATATTTCTTATATCTAAAATAAATAAATCAAAAGAAAAAGATGTATTATTCGATTATTCGCCATTACAAAACTTAAATTTGAAAGCCAAAAGCTAATATTTCCTTTGTCTTAAGGTCTTATTTTCTTAAATATCTATTTCTGCAATATAAGAGGAGAAGGTAAAAAAGGCACAGTGCACTGTTAGTCCTGGCTGGTGGTATGATTATTATTTTATTTTTTTTTTCAGAATTTTTGTAGATGGGACTTTCTGCAATCAAAAGAACTTATGACTGATGTAAGGCAATATACTGATATTATGCAAATAATGTGAAAATAACAGATATTCAAACACCCTCTTCTTTCTACTTGAAAAAAGTATCAGGGCTACAACAACAGCAACTGAACAGAGGGTCGATGATCGATTCTGATATCATTATCATTATTTTACTATAAATAATCTTAAAAAAATGATAACATTTTTACACTCAAAACACTATTCATAATATATTGTTAACAACAAAAAAAAAACCTTCATCCAAGATTTTTCCATTTTTCATCCATTTGATCACAACGGGGTCATCTTCAGTCAATAAGGACATTGTATTGCACAGGAAAAGTGTTGACTCTTTTGTCGATATATGCACTATTTTGGTCATGAAACGTTTACCAACGTCAGGAAATAGTGGAGGGCCTAAGTATATATGAAATTTTTAAAAAAAAAAAACAAAACATTATTACAAAATAAAACGTACAATTTAATATATATATATATATATATATATATATATATATATATATATATATATATATATATATATATATATATATATATATATATATATATATATATATATATATATATATATATATATGGGTGGGTGGGTGGGTGGGTGGGTGTGTGTGAGGGTGTGTGTGTGTGTGTGTGTATTAGGGATGGCAACGAATATTCGAATATTCATTCGATGAGTTGATATTCGAATATGAATTTTAGATTAGAATATTCGGTGTTTTCCAGATTTCATAAAAAGAAGTACTGTGATTAATAAATTTTGTTTAGAACAGTGTTGGAATTATCCCTGTTTAATTTACTAGCGATCAATTCGATTTCGCCTGATTTACTAAATTATTTTGTTTTGAGTAAGGTGTTAAAGAATTATACAATGGTGCTTTATGTATAATACAAAAATTACTTTCATAGTTTTATTAGTTAGATACGATCGGATCTAGAATCGAGAACAACAAAAGGAAATCCTTCTTAGAATGTCTAAAAGATGTGAAGAGTATACTTATCAAAATAAATTTAATTTATAATTGAATGAATGTCCGATAGAATTAATCTGTAATTAATGTAAGGGGCTCAATTTCAGAATAAATGTGTAAATTACTTGATTATCTCCGGTTATACATAATCCTCAAATTTTTATTCATTATCGGGGAATTAGTTAACTATCTATGAAAATTGTCTGTGGAAATATTTGTTCATATTTTAAAAAACATTGCATCAAAGATTATTATGAAATCTCTTATTACGCAGGTAATTGTAATTTATTACAAGTATTGAATTATAAACAGTATACCGTTACGACTATCTTGCCTTTGGTAAGACGACTGGTTCCTCAGTTGAAGCTACTATAAATACGCGGGTTTTATTTGTTAAAATGACTCTTTTCTACATTTAAATCAGTTATTAATTTCAAGCATTGACAAATATCAAATGGAATTCCTTTTTGTACACCTACAAAAGTTTCCATACAATTTTACTTCCAATATAAGTACACCTATGCTAAACCTTTCATGAGAGTAGGGTGATGCATATTTAAAATAAAACAGATTTTATTTATTCTATCGAATATTCAAATATATTCGAATACTTTCATTGAATATTCGAATATGAATTATTGACAAAATTGACATCCCTAATATATATATAAATAATAACATCAAAGACGATTTTTATAACTGCATTTTTTAAGCAACAACTTGAACTTACATGTGACATTGAGGAATGGTCGCTGTGTCAAGTTTTTATTGGCTATACATTTATAAAAACCCTCATCATCAAAAGTTACATTCAAGATATGTAGTTGTCGTCCATACTGACTAAAGTCGTATTTGTGGTTTGTTGTTATGGTTGTTCCGTTTTTGTTCTGCCATTCTACTTTTGGAACAGGGCTGTTAAAAGAAACAATAACTACTACTGCTATTAGTTACTCTTACAGACGTCAAATGGTAATGAAATTTATGTGCGTATATATGGACGTGAAACGTAAACAAAACTGAAATAGCCTGATTTATTAAAAAATTTAAGAGCTATTCTCTGTAGCCACTTAAACTTTTCTGGCACACATTGTCACTTAAGATGAAACTTTGCCCATTATTAAAGTTGGACATTAGAAACATAAATCAATCAAAATGTGTGTAAAATGAAAATTTTTGCGAACGTATGAATAATCAAAATGAATATAAAAAATATTGCATTTCAATACTTTGTTTTCTACTGCATGTCAAACGCTGCAATATTTTATCTTTTCCATTTGTATTGCAAAAATTCTTATTTGTATTGTATAATTTTTTTTTATTTGTATTCAACATTTTTCATTTGTATTTCATAATTTCCTATTTGTATATATTCTATTTTTCCATTTGTATTGTAAATTTTTTTTTAATTTGTATTTTATAAATTTCATTTGTTTTCTATATTTTCCAGTTGTACTGAAAAAAGTTTTTTTATTTGTATTGTATAATTTATTATTTGTCTGCGAAAATTTTTCATTTGCATTGTATCCGATGTTTTTTTTTTTTTTTTATTTCGTTAAGAAGGATTCCATTGGTCAAGTTTGAGCCTATATCGTGTTGAAAACGAGCGAGATGTTGCGATTTTTAAAACAAACTGGCCCTTATTTGCGTGCAAATTAGGAAACGACCATTTGATTCTGAAAGGGGGTGGGTGGAAATAATCTGTCCTCAGAAATTTCAATAATAAATAAATAATCAGTCCTCCACGGTGAAGAAAAAAAACATAATCTGACTCTGACTGATGGTACCAAAACCTTTTTTTAACCCCTGTCTACTTTTCCTATTGAAGAAAATAAATAATCTGTCGATGGTCATCTTGGAAACAAGTAGTCTGTCCTACGAAAGCATGAAAATAATCTGACTCAACAAAATTTTCCAGCCCCCTCCCCCCCATGCTCCTCGCCCTACATGCATGGAAATAGCCCAGTTTACTTTGAGTTCGAGGACATCTCGCTCGTTTTTAACATGATGCAGACTAAAACTTGACCAATGATATCCTTCATAACAAAACAAATAAACAATCCCTCAGATACAATACAAATGAAAATTTATTGTATACTAGTAAGAATTTTTACAATACAAATAGAAAATATAGAATGCAAATAAAATAATGATTTTTTTTTGCAATACAAATAAAAAATATAGAATACAAGCAAAAAAATGAAACAATGCAATAGGAGAGTAGGTATCAGGCAAAAAAAAAAAAAAAAAGAAAAAAAAAAAAAAGAAGAGGAAGAAATTAATGAAGTTCATTAAAGGTTGGAATTATTTAATTTCATTTCATTTCATTTTGATGTTTTAAATATACGGGAAAAAAATTAGATCAAATCAACATGTCACATCGGAACAAAGCACCTTTTTAAATAACACAAATCAGTCGAATACGTATGTAGACTTACTAGTAGATATGATTGATTTTTTAGAACTATGGTACAAGGCACTTACCCCATATAATATTGTTGATTATGTGCAGATACCCGATGACCGTAGTCATAATGACAACTCGCGGAAGCTATGCTGCCTCGTGTCATTATGACCAAGCCATCGTGTATCAGCACAGATCGATGTCCATGACTACTCTTACACCTCTGTGTATCGTTAAAAGTCCCATCGCATTCACATTACTACATTGTGGATTTGAAAGATTCGCAACACAATCGACATTGTCATTGCAACTACATGTATATGGAAAAGAAGTGCCTAGTTTCCTAATCCAGTATGCCTTCTCGTTGTCTACGGAAAGGTGTACACAGTGAGGGGCTATTAGTATGATGGTTAATCTTTTCTAGAATTATTTCATTGACAGAATGATCAGGTAAATTAATGTGAAGGCTGCTGGCCCCCCTTGTTAATTTGAAATCAATGCCCAAATATTCTTTTGTTAAGTAAACCGTTTGTTTCACCAAAAAAGGGAACAAACTAGTACAAAGACAACATTAGAATATTTGCAGTTACGATTTTCCCAAGTTTGGTATAGAAGCTTTGTCCAGTAAAATAACTAGTAAAGAACAACTTATAATCAAAACATCACAGGTGATTCAATTTTAGCAGAACATTCAGAAACAGATGGCATGGGTTCGGAAAAGGATTTTTCAAATATATCTCTAATAGAAAATGTAACCGGTCACGGTAGCCTAGTGGTAGGGCGCTCGATTCCTGATCGGGAGACCCGGGTTCGATTCTCGTTTGCCGCGTCGCTTCATCCCTAAGTAGTGATCGTTTCTTCGCGAAGCGCCCGGCACTAGAAATTAGAGTCACGGGTCTTTCGGATGAGACCTTAAAAACTGAGGTCCCGTGTCACGGTAGGCGTTGGCACGATAAATAACCCTCACTGTCAATGGCTTTAAGTGTTGAGTATAGGTCTAAATTTGCAGCCCTTCACAGGCATTCGGTGATGTCCCTGAATGAGTGAAAAAAAATTCTCGAATGGGACGTTTAACAACATACAATCAATCAATCAATCAATATGATAAAAAATTCCACATTTATTCAATTCTTGTACGAATTGAGTCTTCGACTTTCGGAAACAATCACTGTTACTTTTCTGTATTACTTCAAATATTAATGATGAGACCTTTAACATGTTCAAAATTTATATATATATATATATATATATATATATATATATATATATATATATATATATATATATATATATATATATATATATATATATATATATATATATATATATATATATATATATATATATATATATATCAAACTTAAGGATATGTTAATCTGGTAACCATGATACATAGCAACAAATTTTTGCCTGATTGCCTGATATGAGTTTAAATCCTTTTATCATAGCAAGTTTGAAGTAAATGGCTCTTATATACATCATGCAAAATTTCGGGTTTCCAAATTGTGTTTTGAATTTAAATAGGAAATTAATAAGAAAACCACACTTACTTTCCAGAAAAAATACATTGAAGAGTAGCATTTTCCCCAATGGAAACTTTGTCGCCACTTTGATAGACAGCCTCTGGGATGACATCTTTAGTGGAATCTACAGAAATCTTTTTTAAGATACTCGGTAATTCAGAATACAATTTTAATTTAAATTAAAGTTGAAGTTATACATGCATACATTTGAAGCTACCTAAAACAGAATTATAGTATCCAAGTGCGATACGTTTATCGCTGTTTACGTTATTAATTTAATGTATATTATAGTTTATTAAAATGAGGAGAAAGGGCAAAAACTCTCCATTTTGTAGATAAAAAAGAATGTCACTGGCCTAAGATCATTCTTTGAATATCGATAACATTACGAAAAATATAACTTCCATCAATGCAATGAAGTTTAAAAGATGACATTGTAATGATTTCATCCAGGTTTTTCTCTGATCACTTTAAAACGGTCTTGAATTGATTTTTATGAAAATAAAAAAAAAAATTAACGTTCCTAGGGAATTTTAAAATCTGTTTTGAAAATTTTTTGAAGACGATTTAGCTTAAGATTAAGATGTTTTAATATTTTCTGTAGATGTTTGAATATTTTCTGTATTTTTTTTTTTTTTTTTGAAATTTGTCTCACTTAAAGTTGCAAGTGAAATCTAACTGGGTGGGGATATGTCATTTGAGAAAAGGAAGAATAATTCAAATTGTATCAGCAACTAGGTGGCCAAATTAACATGTAAGAGATAACTTTTGTTTGTGTACTTTGATTTCAGATTGGCGGAGATAAGAGCTCCTGGAGTGAAATCCTATTTTCAAATATATTGTCCTCCAAAATGTTTATTGGTGCGATTGAGGGAAACACGTAAAACAAGGGCATCGTTAAGCGGAGCATCCCCTCGCGGCAGGAACTTCACCAGTAATGGCAATATCTCCTTAAGAGAGATAAATTCTCAAGAGGGATGTTAAACAAAATACAATCCTCTATAGTAATCGAGGGTACCCAGTATTTCTATATACAGCTTAAAAATACGGTAAAGAAATTAAAATGTATTGCAACACTAATTAAAATTTTAACAAAGTCACGGTGGATATTATCGGGAGGGGGGGGGTCCATTTTTAGCAAAAGCAAGGTGCATATCATCTTGGTGAGGGTGGGGATGGGGGCATAAGATGCATACGTGATTGGGCAGTTTCCCCTATTCCTAGCAGAAACATATCACGTATGCTCTAAATTTCAGTAATTTACCTACCTGAGTATATCTCACAGTTGCATACAATATGCATCAAATCTGAAAATACCCACGGAAGCAATATTTTTGTAATGAAAAATGACAATATACCGGTGTTGAGAGGTCGATGAAACTTGTGAAGTGTCTTTATAGCTTTGAAGAATTACATGCGCCTCAAAAATAAATTCCATATTGTTAGCATACACGTGTGGTAATTTGGTAATGAAACGTTCATCAAATTATATCAATTACTCAGTGTCAGAGATAACACTTTTAATTCATACAGACTGTCTCAAGATACGCACAATAATATGACAAAGTTAGTACACCAACTTACCGAAGCGACTCTATCGAAGCGACCCGAATTTACCAGGTCAACAGGGTACCAGTTTAATTAACCGGAAGTGAGTATTGTCATCTTGTACATAAAATTTTAGGATTTGAAGGTAGTAAAAAAGAGATATTTTATAAAATATTTCACCGATAATCTTGAAAATGAATAGAGTTCCTCCTTTTACAATGCCCCATAAGTAAGTAGAGGCTGAGAATTGATAGTGGAAAGGTTCTTTTTAAATCCTGTCCACAAGTTGTAACGGACACACTAACACACACTTACTCACAGTAGCGATGCTATATCCCCTTCGCAACTAGTTGCGCGAGGCGATAATTAAATCTCAATGCTAAAACCTGAACACTTTTAGGTGAATTGTGAAGTGTTTGATACCTTTCTTTGTGTATAGTCATGTGTCGTTATATACACGGAGAAAGCCTTGTTAAAGTGACGTAGCAATGACCGGACGGAAATGCTATCTATAACGATATAGGAGAACAAAATTTGAAATAATATGTATTTTTGTAGGGCTCATTGCTTTAATATGTAAATATAATGAATGCTTTCCATTTCTGAATGTTATTGGTGTGTGTAAATCACACAGACTTGCACGTAGGCATATTTTTCATGAAGGGCTAGCGCGCCTTATATAATATGTGAATTACACACCAATTACATTCACAAATGTAAAAAAAAAATTCTTATCATAAGTACTGACCTTTATGATGTCAATACATTCATAAGGACTAGGTTTGAATATCATCTTTTGTGTTTAAGGAAGATAAATTGTCGAGATGACTTCACATGAGTCAAAAATTGTGTACTTTCTTTCTGAGTCAGCATGGGGAAATAATAAAATCATATTTAATTTTGCTAATACTTCTGTCAAATTTTATCCACGAACACAATTTCAACGTACCAAACCTCATAAATACCAAATCAAAGAAAAAAAAAACTTATTTATTGGACCAACAGAAGGCGGTTTCAGCTTTATTTTATGACTATTGTCCATATGAATTTAAATATCTTCCTATCTATCAAGCAATCTCGCATAACGAAGGAAACACTTTTTAAATTAAAAAAAAGTACATACAGTACCAACCAGACCCAACCTGACACCTAAGCAGTCCCAGAAAGCAGTCCCCGGGACTGCTTTGGGACCGCTCTGGGACTGCTGTGGGACTGCTCTGGGACCGCTGTTGGAATGCTCTGGGACTGCTCTAGAAAGCAGACCCAACAGTCCCTGGGACTGCTTTCTGGGACTGCTTTGCTCACTCATGCATGAAAAAGGTTCTGAGTGACATGATAGCTCCGCCCCTTGTGTATTCTGAATTTGCAGGCTCCCTGTTGTTGTGTTGTTTACTTTCAGCACAGAGGTGTTTAAGATAAAGAATAAAAAAAACCAAGGATGTTTTTACTACATTTTAATAAGTAGAGATAGATATACATGTAATTACTAAATGTCTTCAGGGGCTGTAAATTTACACAATTGTAGTCTAGAATTAATTTTAAAAAAAATGAAAGTAGTTAAAAGGGAAGTCAGGAGATGACTTTTATCCTTTAAATTAAACTTTAATACAGGTGTTTGAAAAAAAATATATCTAGGCCTATTTAATTAATTAATGCTAATTAAGACTTTAATACAGGTGTTTGAAAAAAAATATCGAGGCCTATTTCATTAATTAATGCTGTCAAGTTACAGAATGTACTCAAAGTTTGCATTAGCACTATTTAAAAACAAACAAACAAACAAAAAAACAAACAAACTTGTCATTACAATAAGATATTCAGAGGGACGTACTGTACTGGTTTTTTTTTAAAATTGAAAAAGCTAAAACCATATGCATGCTAAAAAAGAGCATTCCATGCTATTTTTTTACTGCCCTCAAATAAAACCTAATAATTTATTAAATGACCATGAAATGAAATTATTGTACCATTCTTCAGTCATTTAAAGCATTATATTTGTGAAGAATTATTGGAGGATTTATTTATGAATTTGTTTTTGATTTATAAACAAGTAATTAAAAGAGTAAATTTATAAACATTTTAAAATATTGGGAATTGTGACTTATTTCTTATTTGTTTTGTTTGTGTTTTCCTGGCCGATTAACAAAAAGCAATACAAATGTATAAAATGGTGTCAACACCTGAAGTTTCAATCGCCTTCGGGCATTATTAGCAGAAAGTCAATGCATGTTATTTGGGTATCAGTGTTACACATCACTGAACATGCTGGTCAACAATGACAGTAATTTCAATCTATGTACTGCAAAAAATCTTCATTTCAATAAATGTATATAAATTTATTTCGGGATTAATTAATTTTGAACATAATCTGAGGGTTCCACTCAGACTCACTCAAACGTTTATATAATAAAAGTATTATTGTTTTCTGTTACATAGATAATTTAACGATAATTAAATTGGCAAGTCAGTGAAAATAATCATGACTGAAATATAATACTCAAAGAATTTTTCAAAAGCTCTAGTACTTAAGAAAACTGCATTCAGAGTATAGTATGGAAATCGGCCTTGCTCTATAATTATAAGGCCTATTTAAAGCTAGTTTTGATAGAAAATAAATAACTCAAGCTTAATTATCTACAAAAAAAATAAATAAATAAATATGGAAACCAATATCAATCACAGTAATTTAGAAATTGATTTATTTTGTTGAAAAATTAATATACCACAAAACTGTGTTTAAATATTCATGTTATTTATAGGTGTGAACGTCTTCTTTGTTCAATATTTATTATTTGTTTCCATACGCGTGGTGTGATTTTCTTAACAGTTAAAAAATGACTGTCGCATGAGAATTGATACTGCTCAGAAAGAAATGGATCATCAATTTCAACTGCCTTTTATAGTTACATTGTTTATTGATAATCTCATTTCTGAGTAAGTTCCGCCCATTAAATTAATTAACCCCGCCCACTGGGACTGCTGGGACTGCTTTCTGGGACCGCTGGGACTGCTCTTGGACCGCTGTGGGACTGCTCTGGGACCGCTGTGGGACTGCTCTGGGACTGCTTTAGCAGTCCCAGAGCAGTCCCAGAAAGCAGTCCCCGGGACTGCTGTGGGACTGCTTTGTGTCAGGTTGGGTCTGGTTGGTACTGTATATATTTATAGAACCATAACAATAGTTACATGAATATAAATGTTTAGGTCTGTACGTTTGTGCACGTGTTGCCTTTGTTGTCGAGATCATTTGTAGTATTTTACGTCAATTCGACCACTGGTGGTAAATAAAAATACATGTAATTGGATTTATCTCTTCCACGTCTTAAAAATAGCAATCCAAAACTCCACTTACCATTTATCTTGAGATTTGTTATGTCGCCCATTTTTAATACTCTGATCTTTTCATTCCACATTCCACATGTGTAATTTTGTCCCCCGTCAGATTTACTTATGTTCAGAAAATGAAGATTTCCTGAGTGAATTTTTTTCAATATATTAAAACTCAATTAAATCGTACTCTAACTATTGTATTTAAGGTGAAAATACAAATATTTTTAGTATAAATTGATATTGTAGCTTCTCGAACATCTATTTTAGCAATTACGAGATTTGATTACCCTCACGATCCAAGGTTACAGATTCGTTGTACGATATTCTTGTGGTTCCATATCCAAGTTTCCATTCTATCATACATTCAGTTTTTGGTTGGCAAAATGGCTGATTATGACAGATGAGTGTGCAATGATGATATTCCATGCAAGTTTGTTCCACATTCGATGTTAAAGAAAACTGATCAAGAACTACAATAACAAGTAATGGCAACTTCAGTTCTGTTTGCCACAACGTGACTGTCAAGTAAATAACACAGGAAAACATTTCATGATCAAGATAGAGCTGCTGGTAATGCAATAACATTTTCAGACTTTACAAACCCTAAGTAATTATTTCACACATTTAAATGCATATAACATGAATGGTTTATTCGTTTTTTCGATATATTGCTGCCATGAAAATGCTTTCAAAATATTTTTTTGTGCATTTTGGTGGTAACTTCAAAATATTCAAAACCGGTCATACTTCGTGATCGGATGCCCGGTTTCGATTCTCGCTACGTCAAACCTAAGACGTAAACAATTGTAGTGACTGTTCCTTCGCCAAACTCCCGGCAGAAGTGAAGGTCGCGGGTCTTTCGGATGAGACCTTAAAAAACCCAGATCCCGTTTCTTGGTAGGCTTTGGCACGATAAAGAACCCTCACAGCTCATGGCCGCGAGTGCCGAGTATACCCGGTAGGTCTAAATTTGAAGTCCTTCACCGCCATACGATGACGTCTCTTAATGAGTGAAAAATTCTTGAATGGGACTTTAAACAACATACAATCAATCAAGTAATCAATCAAAATGTTCAAAATGTACAACAATGAAACATATACATCTATTTTCAAGATAATTGATTTAATGTTTGAACATAGAGACTAATTATGAACATATAGACTAATATTTTGGAATACTTGAATAAATTGGGAAAACTCTAGGTATTCTTTACAAGGAATTAAAAACAATATTCCTTGTTGTTAGCCGTGTCGTATTAAAAAACCCCATCGCATTACTATCACATGCTAATTACGTTAATCCTGTATTTTTAATTTTTTTTTTAAATTTCAATTTACAGAAGATTTGAAATTGATATTATACCTTTTCGAGCTAAAGTCACGTTGAATAATGACATTTTATAAATTGTAAATGCTTTACCTGCTTCCGATAATTTGACAAACAGTGAGACTGAAATTCCAAACTTATTTTCTGCCATACAATAATAGATACCAAAGTCCTCTTTTTCTAGGTTTCTGAAGACGATTTCACCAGTTGACTGATTACAGGAAACTCGATCATTTTCCACAATCTTCAAATCATTTTTATACCACTGATACCTATTCAAATGATTTAGACATAAGATAATTAGATCATGAATTGTATTCTGTTTGATATTATTAACTAAAGTATTAAGCTTTTTCATAATCATCTGCCAATTGCAAAGGTAATCATACACTGTTACTCACCTGACTACAGTGTTATTTGCTTGGCAAAACAAGGATAATGGAGTAGAATGAAAGATCGGTACAAAATATTCCAGCTCAAACTCTGATGTTATGACAGGAGGAACATTAATAGATTCTGTTCCTTAAAAACAAAAAAAGTTTTTCATGCGCGGATCTAGAGGGGGATTGGGGGGGGGGGTTCCGGACCCCCTGGAATTTGCAGAGTTATTAAAAATATATACTAAATCAAATAAAAAATGACTTTGGACCCCCCTAGGAAACGTGGACCCTGGCCACCACCACCACCACTAAATAAGTCTTTTTCATGATTGGGAAATGGATTTTAGGTTTTGTTTTATGGGGGGTGCAATTTTTTTGGACTGGAGTGCCCCCCCCCCCCACCCCGAAAAAAAATCCTTTATCCGCGTCTTTTTTTATTTTAATTTACAATCAGTTTTTCGACTACAACGTACAAATCTGAAAAATACCTTTGCAAAGGAAAAGGACTCCAATCACAAGGTTCTTTCCCATCATGGTTTCTGATGTATTGGACGTTTTATTTAAGAAAACATTAAAACAAAATTTACTCCTCTTAGTCGTTTACTTCCCGTCGTCTGTGGTAAACAATGCCGGGGAACTGATTACAATACATGTATGCGGAAAAAGTGTTTTATAGGAAATCGTATGATATACAAAATTAAATGCTTATGTCTTCATCTTCCTTATAAGCTATAGCGTTCGTATTCATGGAGTACCTGACCACATTAAGCATATTTTTAAGTGCCAATTTTAAGAGGGACTTAATGACGTTTCACTTAACAGAGAACGTTATTTCATTATTTGATTTTGTGATGATTCCTTTTCTTATTATTCTGGTTTTAATAGCGATTCTCTGTAACCACTTAAACTTCTTTGCCACGCATGGTCACCAATTTTGATGAAACTTTGCCCATTATTACAACTTGACACCAGAAACATATATCAAATAAAATTTTGTTGCTATGTGTCTTGGTTGCCATGGTAACAGCCAGAAAAGTTGAAAAAATTGAGATTTTCAGCTACTTTGAATCTTTATTAAGCCTAAATAAAGACTAAGAAAACCAAACAAACTATTCTCACAAAAACATGACACCTTGTTGTCACGTATGCTATAAAGAAACTATTAAGAGTTTATCTCTAAGTAAGTGGTAACCATGGGTACGTTTGGAATACATTTTAGATGCTGAAAAATGCTGAAAAACGCTTAATATTCACTAATGAAAGATGTTACATGATAAAACTCAATCAACAACCAAAGAAAAACAATAAAAATATTTGACCTTAAGTAATTAGGTATTGGCAATATTATTCTAAAAATAACTTTTATGGTTGCCATGGTAACACAGTGTAACCATGCAAAATCTGTTGCTAAGATTGGGTTAATGCTACCATCTTGAGGAAAAACAATAAAATTCATGACTGGCACATATACATCCTTAGGACCTTGCAACACCGACAACATAAGAAAAATTGGTATTAATTGTTTATTTGCAGTGTAACCATGGAAACAGTGTACCAGTTGTTTAAAGTGATATTTTTTTTTGCTGCTTTAGGATTTTACTTACCTTTTAATCAAGAAACATATTATTTGACTCATCTTGAATAGTATTTATCTGGTAGAACTAAAGTTGAATATCATATATTGATAAAGTTTGTTGAAAAATACAACACTGTTGCTATGGTTACCAAGAAGGGAAAATGTTCGATTTTGTTAAGTTTATATCAACATTAGATCCTATGTGCCAGCTTTTTGCATCCAGTTAGAGATTGGGTGGAAGTCAAATTTTAAAGTCAGGTTAGTTGTTCATTTATATCAATCATAAAAGTTTTGGGAATCTACATACAAGGGTACGTATCCAAGGAAACAGAATATTTTTCAGATTTTTATGCATATTTTTTCGGCTAATTTCCATAGCAACGCTCTATTTAAAGAATTGAATTTGAATTTTTTGAAATGTGGAAATTAGGATCACACCAATGCCTTTAAAAATTGATCATCAGTTATATAGAAATATGCTTTTTAAAAAGATAGGATAAGATTAAAACACTAAGAGAGAAAATTTAAAATCCCATTGTGGTATTAAAACCATGGCAACCATTGCCAACCTATAAGAAATATCATATTTCGTCCTTGGTATATGTTACAAGGATCTCTTGTCTATTATATGCTTGCATTTCAACCTATAATTGTTTTTATTCTTAAGTGTATAACTTTATAAATTTAAATGAACAAAATTATTACTTTTGAATACTTTGTTTCCATAGTAACGTATGTAATAGCTGATTTACCAAACATGTTTATCATGCATTTAAGACATCAGGCCTTCAACTTTCAGAAACAGTCATTGCCACTTGTTTGCTTTGCTGCAATTGTTAACTGGGGGACTCTGAACATGTTAAAAAATGCCATTTTTCAAACTTTAGGACACGTTGCTATGGTAACCATGACACGTAGCAACCAATTTTTGTCTGAATTGTGTTTACGTTATCAAAGACTTTTATTATAGAGAGTTTGAACAAATTCTGAGACTATGCGTGCCACAGCTCCTATATAAAAGTTAAAGTCATTACAGAGAATGGCTCTTAATTATGTTTAAAATTTAACAAAACCAAAGATATAACTCTCTTTATGATTCTAAGAATTTTGCTTTCTGTATCAAAATGGCGAGTGGGCAGAAAAGACAAAAGACAACGTTTTCTTTTTAAAGAGAAATACGAGGGTTGTCCATGAAGTTCGTTGACAATGCCTTTTTAATCAAAATGAATGGTTCCATATATATACTTATTGTACATCAAAATATTTCTCATGAAAATCCAAGTCATAATAGTTTGGTTATTATTATTTAATATTTTTGTAAAAATTTGGGTCTTTTAAGATCGCAGATAGTGCGCATGGCCCAGGGTTAAAACACTATAAACTTTGAAATAAAGTATTAAAATGATTATTTTCTTTATAAAACGAGCCAAAGCTTAATGAAAATTAAATGTGTCACAAATAAAGCGGCTATCGTTATTTTCTTATATCTTTAGTATCGCTTACTATAAAGAAAGTGAAAATATTTAGTAAAAACCGGAAGAAACATGTTTCAAAAATTAACAGAAAAATCGAAATCGGCCGTCCGAAAAAAAACAAAGTGTTTACACCTATAACATTTGTAAAATTGTGTTAATTATTTTAATTTTTATTTATTTACTTAATTGCGGTCTATATTAAAATATTATTGTACATGTTTGCCAGTGCGGACTTTATTCAGGAAATTATAGCATTTGTCACGAACTTTATGGACAACCATCGTACATGTGTTAATATCATAATACGAGGGTTGATCCAAAGATAATGTAACAACAGCTATAAAATCTTTAAAACTCGAATCTTATCAACAGAATTTTACATAATAATACCCTATCTATTTTGATTTTTAAATTAAAGGACAAGATAGGCTAAGACCCCTTTTTGGCCCCTGGTTTGGGGAGTGTTTTAGAATGGTGCAACAGTTTTTTCAATAAAAACATGTTGCCACCCCTACCACAAAAAGAGTATTGGTTCTAAGTTATGGCATACATAGAGGTCACAGGAAGGTCAGAAAATATGTCAATTTCTGAATTTTCTCATTTTTATGCAAATTTTCATGGATTTTACAGCACATTTTGTTCCAGAAAACATAGAGCACAAGCTTGCCTATCTACCAAATTTATATGTTTCATACACTAGTATCAGATGCATCTTGTGTATAAAAATCTCAGATAGGCAAGCTTGTGCTCTATGTTTCCCGAAGTGAAAAGTATCTCAGATTTGAGAAAAATCCATCAGAATTGAGGAAATTCGGGAAAATGTCCAACTTATGCACCCTCTTGTGCCCTCTGTATAAGCTTTGAAGCAAAATTAGTGCTGGTTTTAAAACAAGCATCATTTTAAGTTCTTAAGTAAAAACTATCACAATTCAAACTGTGTTCTGATTTTTACATCAAATTAGGGGCCAGATTCGGCCCTTACCATACCTTGTCCTTTCAATCAGTTATATTAAATAGTTTTTTAATACTCGTATTAAGATAGACACAACGTTAGGTTTTGTTTATCGCCGCACGACAAGAATGTTGCCGATGTCGTTATAACTTTACTTTTTGGTACTTTCATTCTCGGTTTATCCACAATTTTTTTAATCTCTGGCATGCTTCTTTTTAATAATATTTACTACCATTTTACTATAAAGCGTCTTGTTTTGAGTTGCTTTTAAAATTATTCAAACTCTGTCCAAATGTTATTTCTAAATCCATTCCATTTGTGTAGATCTTGTGTTTCATCAGATTCAAGAGTAGGTGACATTATAGGATCGTCCATTGTAGCAACCGCTAATGATAAAACGCTGCTTAATGATAAAAATATCATTAAGAGTTGCATTGCAACGCTTAATGTAATAAATAATTACATTAATAGTTGACATTTTCAACCGCTTAATGATATATTTCTTTCATTAATCGGCGATTTAGCATTAGCGATTGAAAAAGTCAATTATTAATGCAATAATGCATTGCAATTTCTATATCATTTTTATTTCTATCATTAAGCGGCGTTTCATCATTAGCAGTTGCTGCGAATTCAGTCCATTCACTTTCTTCTTCCTCAGTTTAAACATCATAAAGATACAAAAGTTGCATTAAGTACCAATGTAAATGGAAGTCAAAAGATGGACAGATACTAGGAAGAGGAAAGTGCGTCGAGGATGAGCCGTTCTCGTCACCTCCTCTGAATCTGACACTACGCTTGATATACATGTACGCACAGCCAAATAAATATGCAAATGCATTAAGGAAAGTTAAAATAATTTTTTTTTAGCTCAGAAGTAGACACTTAAGCACAAGTTTATGAAGCTTCAGCAGAAGTTGAAAGTACATGAAATAATTATAAACGTATATGTGAGAGATTAAAATAGATTTATGGATGAACTGAAAATGAGTCCCGAAGACAAACGTCATAACGACGTCGAATATTAAATATTCTTGCCGTACGGCGATAATCGAAACCTGACGTTGTGTTTATTTTAATATATTGAAAAGTATTGCATATATGTGAATGAAATTTTAAGGCAAAAGTCACAATAGATA